TGCCCAAGAAAGCTCTTCTGCATGAGCGCCAGCCGCGACATTGCCCTATGCACATCCACCACAGCATTGAAGTATTAAAATGAACTAGGATCACCCTAATACAGCACGTTAGTAATCTCGGGTGCCCCACTCAATATGGTCGCCGCTTGAGTGGGGAGTTGGAGCTTTCGATAGAACACCGGCTTCCAGCTGCTGATCTCTCCTCCGACCACAGGACCCGCAAGTGATTTGTATTTCATCACTTCCGGTGTCACTGTTTACATTCTCAGGCTCTTAGAGCCAGGAGAAGAAGCTGGGGAAGCAGATCTCTGCTTTCTTAGCTAAGTGGCATTAGGAGTCTGAAAAACCCCTGATGTCTCCATAAAGAGGACCTGTCAAACTCTTATTTGCTGTTACATAGTAGTTTTGTTAGCCCCCTATGTGATGGCAATAATATTTGTGTAAAAAAAAAAAAAAAAAAAAGTGTTTAAAAATTAAAGTACCATATAAGAAATACAAAAAATGCGAAATTTTTTTCTAAAGTCCCCCCGCCCCCCACGTGCACGCACATACACACGCAAATACGCGTTGGTGCACCTACTTGCGAAAACGGCAATTGCGCTACACATTACATATCGACATGAACGTCTGAGTGAGCGCAATAATTCCTGTAATTGGCCGACTGTCCAAGTAGCTGCTAGCCTGAATGCTGAACAAGAACGGAAAAAAAAGTCTACTAGTGCATACCCAGCTCCACTGGTGATTGGCTGTGCAGGCACTCAGTCCTGTCATAGGGGTTTGGAGAGAGCCTTCAGTACTGTTTAAGCACCAAGTGAGGGGGCTTATTTTTTGTACCCGTAGGCTGAATGGAGCTGCTTAAGTGCAGAAGGAAATGCCGTATATGCAGTTGGGGAAAGGGTGATAGTTGAGTGAAGTTTACTGACAAATCAGAATTTGAGGATTTGATAATGAATTGTCTAAATATGACCAAGCGATTTTATAATCATTTGCATTTTACCAGTTGGTCACTGCATTTACTTATTTGAACTTTCATAGTCCACAGTACTCTTAAGTCGTATTTGGAAATTAATATGACATTATTTTTTTAGTTTTCCTCTGCTCTTATGTGACAGTAATGGGTACAACGCCTTCTAGGATTAGATAAGAAAGCAATGTAAATAGTTTCACAGTTCACATGCTTTTCAAAGCTCTGTACCACACCTACACTTGTTATGTTACCGAGGTTTATATTTTAATAAGTGTATTAATTACTCAATTTCAGCATGTCTGACATAATGGGAACAGTTGTGAACAATCCTTTGTGTTCTGTTATATCCATGCTTGCGTAGTTGGTCAAATTGTATTACGTAACACCAGACCTAAAAAAAAACCCAAAAAAACGATTGAGACCATTTTGATAAGTGAATGATTACCTACATATTGGGGACCCAGTGTACATGTGAAGAGAACTCCATTTTATACTAATTGGATATTGGAGCTATTTACAACCTCAGGTTTATGCTTGGGGGTACTAAAAAAATAAAGAGTTCAACTTTATTATCAGAAAGAAGTATCAGGCTACCGGCATGGTTTTAATTGCTTTTCCAACTGGAAATATTTTCCATTTTCTACTTCTCGGGGAGCATGCTGTAAGTTAGAGGAGCATTTTCTCAACCTTTTTTTTAGTCACGACACCCCTCAAATGTTCTAGGTCTCCATGCGAAAATATACAAAAAGGGTTTCCCCCTTCACTGCCCCATTCAAATCAAGACCCC